GAAGCAAACATCATTGGTTTTACTAGGGTTTTGACCCCATGTTGGCCTCCTGAAGGGGGAGACTCTAATTAGACACCCCCCCTCCTGTGATCGATCTCACCCAAGATGGCCCAACGATGGCCCCCAAGGCTCCCAAGGGTGCCCCAAGAGGGCCCCAAGAGGTGGCCAGGAAGCCCCAAGAGGCCCCCAGGATGCCCCCAAGATGCTTCCAAGAGACCCCCAAGAGGCCCCCAAAGACCCCCCAGAGGCACCCAAGATGCTCCAAAAGGCCTCGGCGAGAATGCCCTCTCGGGGGGGCACTGGTTAAGATGACTCCAAGAGCGCCTGGGAGAGCCCAAGATGACCTCCAAGATGGCTCAAGATAGCCCGAGATGTCTCATAATGGCTGCACGATGCTCCAAGATGCCCCAGGACCGCTCCAAGACGGCTCCCAGTGGCCAAAGAGCTCCCCCAGTAGGCCCCGAAGAGGCCAACACGTTAGGAAATCCCACCAGCCCTCTGGGCGTCGGTGGTTTAGGGAGTTTCCTCTTCCACCCCTCCTTCTCCCCCATCGGGGAGGGGTTTACCCTCCCCCTTCCCCCTCCCCACGGACCTGGACAGGGGGGTCCGCGAGGTGTCGGAGCATCTAAGATGGCCCAAGTTGGCTCCAAGAGGGCCTTTGAGAACCCAAGATGACCAATAGCTGCCGATGGTCGGCGCTCTTCGTTCGAGAGCGTGTAGGATGAGCTGGTGGGGATACGCGAAACGTCAAGATTTTGTCCGACGATCGACGCGATCGAGAATGACAGGCAGGGGCAGTGGCGGTCGGCCCTGGCCTTACGACGTTGGGATCGAAACTGGGCCCACCATCATCTATTACATCACCCCGATCAGCGCGTGTGAGAAGGGCGGGCAAGGGAGCGGCTGCCTTCCCTTGTGCTGTTGAGCGAGACTTTGGGAGTGAAGCTGGAGCCCGCCATCATCTGCTACAGAACCCCGATCAGCTTGTGCGAGAAAAAACGGACAGGGGCGGCAGCAGCATGCGTGCAGTAGCGCTGCTGAACGGGGTGTTGGGAACGAAGCTGGGGCCCGCCATAGTCTGCTACAGCACTCCGAACACCGCGTGCGAGAAGGACGGGTAGCGGCAGCAGCTGCTGGCCTTGGCGGGGCTCAGCGAGATGTTGGGAGCGATGCTGGAGCCCGCAATCCTTTGCTACAACACTGCGACCAGCGCGTGCGGGAAGGACGGGAAGCAACAGGGGCAGCCGGTCCTGGCACTGCTGTGCGAGATGTTGGGAGCGAAGCTGGGGCCCACCATCATCCGATACAGCACCCCGAGCAGCGCACTCGAAAAGGACGGGCAGAGGCAGTGGCAGCCGGCCCTGGCGCTACGCAGCGAAAAGTTGGGAGCGAAGCTGGGGCCCACCATCATCTGCTACAATATTCTGGTCAGCGCGCGCGGGAAGGACGGGCAAAGGAAGCGTCAGCCGGCCCTGGCGCTGCTGAGCGAGATGTCTGGAGTGAGGCTCCATCATCTGCTACAGCGCTCCGAACACCGCGTGCGCGAAGGACGGGCAGCGGCAGCGGCTGCCGGCCCTGGCGCTACTCAGCGAGATGTTGGGAGCGATGCTGGAGCCTAATTGCCATCATGTGCTACGTCGCCCCGACCAGCGCGTGCGAGAAAATCGGGCAACGACATTGGCGGCTGGCCCTGGCGCTGGGGCGTTGGGAGTGGAACGGGGCCCGCCATCATCTGTCACAGCACCCTGATCAGCGCGTGCGAGAAGGGTGGGCAGGGCAAGCGGCTGCCGGCCCCTGTGCTGTTGAGCGAGACTTTGGGAGTGAAGCTGGAGCCCGCCATCATCTGCTAATATCTGCTACAACACCCCGATGGCAGCCAGCGCCGGCGCTGCTGAGCGAGATGTTGGGAGTGAGGCTGGAGCCCACCATCATCTGCTACAGCACCCCGATCACCGCGTGCGAAATGGACTGGCAGCGACAGTGGCAGCCTGCCCTGGCGCTGCTCAGCGAAATGCTGGGAGTGAATCTGAGCCCGCCATCATCTGTCACAGCACCCCGATCAGCGCGTGCGAGAAGGACGGGCAAAGGCACTGACAGCAGGCCCTGGCGCTGCTGTGCGAAATGCTGGGAGTGGAGCTTGAACCCACCATCATCCGCAATGCAATTCTGGTCGTTGCGCGTGCAAGCGGGGCGAGAAAGTCGCCAGATGCCCCCGAGCGTCCGGAGCGCCCCGCCGCTCTCGGACGGCTCCGGACAGCCCCCAAGTAGCCCCAAGACGGCATCAAGCAGCTCTACTACTGCTCCGATGCGCTCGGGATGGCGGGGGGACGTCCCAAGAACCCGAACACAACCCCATGACAGCCCGAAGCGGCTCGACGATGAAAACGGCCCAGCCGCCAGGGCCATCCCAGCTCGTCCCGAGACGCTCCAGGAGGCTGGGCCGACTGCCCCCAGAGGGCCCCATGCCTATCCAACAGGGCCCCCACACAACCACATAGAACCCCCAGTGGTCCCCACGACAGGCCCAAGCGGGCCCCAGGAGCCGCACAAGAGGCCCAAAACCGAGCTCCAACAAGCCCCACACCCTGACCATGGCTCCAGGCCAACCTTAGAGTCTTAGAGGCCTCCAGAACGCCCTCGAAAGCCCCAGGATCGTCCCAGAGCGCCCCTGCTGACTGGCCGAATGCCCCCGAACACGGCCCAAACGGACCTCGATGACGGTCCCCCGAGGCCGAAAATTAACGATTTTCGTATGGTTTTGGAATCTGACCCGTGTTCCCGCCATTTCCCCCTGAAAACGGCCCCACACGAGGCCTACACCAGCCCCTGATGACTCCAGGGCCAACCCAAATCGCCCCGAGACGGATGCTAGGCCGACTGCCTCTAGACGGCCGGAAAAGGCCCCATGACTATCCAGGGTTCCCGCACAGCCACATAGAACCCCCAGTGGTCCACACGACAGGCCCAAGAGGGCCCGCCCAAGATGCCCAAAACGAGCTCAAACAAACCCCGCACCCCTACCATGGCCCCAGGCCGGCCCCAGAGGTCTCCGACAAAGCCGATGAGAGCCCCAGGATCGTTTCAAAACGCCCCTACAAACGGGCCGAATGCCCCCGAACACGGCCCAACCGGGCCCCGATGACATTCCCCGGCAGAAAGAAGTTCACGATCTTCTGGCGGTTTTGGAAGCTGTTCCGTGTTCTCGCCATTTCCGCCCGAAAACGGCCCCCCACACGGAGCCTATACCAGCCCCAGACGGCTCTAGGACCACCACAGATCGCCCCGAGACGCTCCAGGAGGCCAGGCCGACTGCCCCTAGACGGCCGCAAAAGGCCCCAGGACTGTCCAAGAAGGGGTACCACACAGCCACATGGAACTGCCAGCGGCCCCCAAGACACACAGGCTCGCAGGAGGGCCCAAGATGCCCCCGACACGGCCCCAGGGACTCCCGAGCGGTTCAACTTCGACGAGTTTTTCACCCAAGGTGTGCGAGTCCCAGGTTCAGCACACCGTAAATTTAATCCACGGGTTCGCACTACTACCCCGATCAGCGCGCGCGAGGAGGACGGGCGGGGGCAGTGGTAGCCGGCCCTGCCGGTGTTTGGACCAGCGGGCAGGAGAGTGCGTCCAGTGGGGGTGGCACGCAGAAGACGACCCGCGCCACACCGTTGACCTTTTCTTCCTTTGGCGCCGCCGTCGCGCGCGAGAAGCACGCGCAATGGCAGCAGGACGCTGCGACAAGACCTGTGGCTGGGCGCTCCCGCCGCTCCCGGCTGTGATGCGTGCGCCGGTCGGGACCGTCCCCCTCCCTCTCGCCTTTGAATCCCAGCCTCAGCAGCTCAGCTCGGAGGCTCGCGGCATTTTGCTGCCGTGAGCGGCTCGCTGGCCAACCCCTCGGCCTTGGCCTCCCTGCGCCACGCAAGCGCTGTGCGCCAGAACACCTGGCAGCACGGCCCCTTGACGAACACTTGGGTGCCATGTCACTCGCTCGCCATCCGCCCTGAAGTGGACTACTTGCTCTAATTGCGCCTCCAGCGTCTGCAGCCGTTGCCTCAGCCTCTGGGTGCGGACTCGACGCCGCTCCACGTCCACTGCAGGACGCCTCATCAACGCCTGGCCGCACGGGCCCATCATGCCGAAGACCTTCGTGCTGTGAGTGCCCTCCCCCCGCTCCCCCTGCTCCGCGGCCGCCCTCGAGCCCTGTCTCTTTGTCCTGCTGCGGGGCAAGTCGTGCGCCCCGCCCCGGCTGCTGGAGCGCACGAACGGATTGCCTCTGCCGCGCCGCGATGAGAAGAAGTCGCTCCGCTCCGCGGGACGGAGAAGCTCAGGAGAAGGAGAAATAGGGAGGAGGAGGAGGAGGAGGAGGAGGAGGAGGAGGAGGAGGAGGAGGAGGAGGAGGATAGGGAGCAGGAGGAGGAGGAGGAGGATAGGGAGGAGGAGGAGGAGGGGCGAGCGGAGAAGCTCAGGACGTCGACGCTCGGGATGTTCGACGCGCGGCGTCGCGCGTCGCGTCGCGAAGCGTGGAGGGCCAGAACACGGGTGAGCGCGACACGGTGAGCCAAAGCTCCTGCCCGCAGGGGTGCCCGCAGGGGTGCCTCGAGCAAGCGCCACTTCTTCCAGCGAGGGGGTCCCCGAGGGCACGCGAGAGCCCTTCAGAACGACCCCAGGCGTCCAGAATCGGGCGTTGGCAGAACTGGGTTTAGTGGGACCTGGTTCAGCGATGTGTACTGGGGGACGCCCCCCCCCCCCCCGCCCCGTTCCACTGACCGGAACTGCCGTCACCCCGAAAAAACACCAGCTACGGCAGAGCTGGTTTCGTGATTCTGGCCCATTTGGGGGCTCCGGGGCCCTGCTGCTTGCCGGGTCCCCTTGCCTGGGGTCCTGGCTCTACCCGCCAGAAACCTCCTCGGGCCTCGATTTCCCGGAGCCTCGGCTTCCCCGGGAGGGACCCGTGGCCGCCCCCGGCGGTGGCGGCGGCTCCCCCCCTCTCTGCCCGGCTCCTCGGGGGGCGGCAGCAGCGCCCTCGGCGCCCAGAACTCGCAGGCCCAGGTCAGGGCCCCGCGCCTAGAAGGGCAGCACTTTGTACACTCCAGTCGGGCTTGTTTCCCGACAGGCCGATTCTCGACGAAGAATGAAACATAGTCAAAAAATAAGCCAAAATGGTCGAAAATGATATTAAAACAAATCGTCCCCAGACACATCTTGTGAGTATCTCGGAATATTCCCCCTGTAGAGGGACAGGCCCGACTTATTTATACACCGACGCCGGTGCTGCCCAGGCCCGACCCCGGGGCCCAGGATCCGCATGCCTGCTTTGTGTTTGCTCGCCTGCCCGCGCCGGGAGGGCGCAGGCACCGGTCCTGGGCCCAGGATGGCCCCGGCCAGAGCCGGCGTGCGTGTAGAGTTAGGTCGGGCCTGTCCCCCTGCAGGGGGATTTTGGACGAAAAATAAAAAAGAATCAAACAATACTCAAAAGATGCCCCCAAATACTAACAAAATAATCCCCAGACTAGTTGTTTGACTATTTTTGAATATTCCCCCTGTAGAGGGACAGGCCCGACTTAAGTGCAGAGTCAACCCGCATAGTGAGGATGGGCAACCTTCCCAAGGGTACCCTTGCATCCTTGCCTCCTCGGTCCATCCTTCGCCGCTTTCGCTGGCCGCGCCCCGCTCGAAAAGCTTCGAAATGGGCGTCCAAGGCCCTCGCATCCTCATCGCGCATCCTTACTATACGGGCTGACTGTATCAGCAGACGTGCGATGCCTGGACTTTCTTGTTCGGTGCGCGGTCCCCAGAACTCTCGACCGTTCCGGCGCTTCATCCCGCGTGTTTTTTTTTTGCTGGTCCCGATGCCTGGCGAGGTGCCCTGGAGGCCGACACTGGCCAAAAAGCCTCCAATCGTGAATTGGTCACGACGCGAGCGCGTCCGGGTACGGCAGGTTCGTGTCCTGTCGACTTCGGCGTCGAGTTCTGACAGCAGGGGAGCCTTCAATCTTGAACGATTGGCCGTTTCATAAACCTCGGACCGTTCAACATCGATCGACTCTAGGTCACCGGCGGTGTTCAACATTGAACGGCGGCGGCGGCGAGGTCGCCGCCAGTCGACACCACGCGAAGGATGGGGGGCTGAGGAACGGGTAGAGGGGGGGGGAGAGGAGAAAGAGGCGAAGGAGAAGGAGGAGGAGGAGGACCAGTGTAAACCCAAGTCATCAACGATGTTGGAATGGACCCTCCCTCCATAGGCCCGTACAACGGTTCCTTTCCACTGAGGGAAGTGCCTCGTTGGAAGGCAACCGTTTGAAGGTCCTGAAGCGTGCAATGTATCGCTCTCGGGACTTGAACGCCACAAATCAACCTCACTGCTGCGTCTTGACGACCCGGAATCCTGCCAGAATGCCATGTTTGGGACTTCAATACCGCGAATCAACATAACTGTTGCGCCCGCATAATCCCGAATCCGTCCAAAACGCCACTTCTGGTACGTTGATCATGGGAATCCGTGGAACTCTTGCAAATTGTTAAACCGAGTGTGCGCGGCGCTACGGCGAGAGCCACATTTTGAAAACGACCCGCCCTCAATCCGTGAACATCTTGCAAAACTTGACAACGAATGTGCGCGGCGCTAAAGCGAGAACCACGTTTTGAAAACGACCCGCCCTCAATCCGTGAAGCTCTTGCAAATTTTGAAAAAGAATGCGCGCGGCGCTACGGAGAGAACCACATTTTGAAAAGGTACCGCCCTTAATCCGTCAAGCTGCTGCGACCTTTGAAAACGAATGTGCGCGGCGCTACGGCGAGAGCCACATTTTGAAAACGACCCGCCCTCAATCCGTGAAACTCTTGCGACTTTCGAAAACGAATTTGCGCGGCGCTAAGGCGAGAGCCACATTTTGAAAGCGCCCCGCCCTCCATTTGTGAAGCTGTTGTCACTTCTCATGCTTCAGAATCATACATGGTGAGGATGTCTCAGGCGAAACGCCCGACCCACCCGAAAAACTGGCCTCGGGGTGCGACAGGGAGGAGTTCTCTATAAGGACAAGGAATTGAAGAGGAGAACGAGGAGGAAGAGGAGGATAATCAGGAGGAAGGATGAGGAGGAGGCGAAGGAGGAGGAGGAAGGAGGAGGAGGCGGAGGAGGAGGAGGAGGAGGCAGAGGAGGAGGAGGAGGAGGGAGGAGGAGGAGGAGGAGGAAGAAGACAAGGATGATGATGAGGAGGAGGAGGAGCAGGAGGAGGAGAAGGAGGAAGACAAGGAGGAGGAGGAGGAGGAGGAGGAGAAGGAGGAAGACAAGGAGGAGGAGGAGGAGGAGGAGGAGGAGGAGGAGGAGGAGGAGGAGGGAAGGGTAGTTGGTGGCCAGGGCTGGTGTGGGTATATAAAAGGTGCCCTCCGAACACCTGAGCCGCTCCCACGGCAGAGGCAGGCCTTGCGCGCCTCCGGCCGGCAGCGCCTGTCGGAGGAGGGCCAGCCTCAAAACAACGGCGGCCCTCCATGGCGTTTTGCGTCCTCTGCGGGCCTTCTGGAGGATTCCTGTCGCCACGGCTGGATCCGCCTCGAACAGCTCTGAGATTTCGGGCTCCGGGGTCATCGCAGCTCCTGCTCGAGGAGATGTCGCAGGAAGATGTGGTCTGGAGCTCTGCTCGTCCTGCTCCTGGGTGTTTCTCAGGCGGCGGATCAGAATGGGTCCCGGGAAAGGGCCGCCGCTGTCTCAGCTGCCCCCCGCCCGAGCCTGAGATTGGCACGGGCGCCGGGCGGGCACGCGGCGAGGGCCCGGGCCCTCTGCTTCCCGGGCCGGCTCGGGCGAGGGCGGCTCCTCCATGGCGCAGCGCCGCTTCTGCAGGGCCGCCGCCAGCTCACCGCCGCCGCCCGCCCCTGCAGGCGCAGTGGGCGCCCCCGTCCTGCTGGCCACCGGCTGCGCCGTCGGGTCGCCGCGGGGTCGGGGTGAACTCTCGGCGTCGCCGGACACGTTCCTGCTGACCGCCGGCTGCGTCTGCTCGGACGTGGTCCTGCTGACCACAGGCTGCGGCTCGGGCAGCTTCTGCCAGGCGCTGCCCTCAGAGTCCACGACGCCGCGGCGGGCCTGCAGCTTCCGCATCAGCTCCGACCCCACGTTGCTATGCGGCCCGGTGGGCTCGCGCGTCACTGCGGATGCCGCGGCCGCCAGCCGGCCGCTGGCAAAGGGCCGCCCGCTGGCGCTGCTCACTGCCGTGACGGCTTCGCCGCCGCCGCGAGGGGGCCGGGGCGCGGACGAGGACACGCGCCCCCACTGGTCGATCGACGGCTCCGCTTCTCGCTTCGGGCCCTCGCCCGCGCTGGCCGCCGAGTCGCCGTGGAAGAGCGTGCCCTTGGAATCCACCACCGAGCGCCGCTCGCGCAGCTTCCGCTCCTGGGGGGGCGCCAACTGTATGCGTACACGGAGCCTGGCCAGCCCCAGCCCGGGCACAGGATCGGTGTACATGCTCCTTGGGCTCAGGATGGGCCTGGCCAGGACCGGTGTAGGACCCAGACCTGCCATGTCTGGAAGTTTCTGTGCGCGGTCCCTGGAAGTCCCGACCTCTTCCCCAGGGCTGGTTTTTCATACCGAACTGCTGTTTGACGGCCCCGAGGCCTGGCGACGGCCCCGGAGGCCGAAAATGTCCCGAAACCTTCCGCGTCGTGATTCTGGGCGCGACGAGAGCGTGTCTGGGTGGGGCTATAACTTCAAGAAATATGTCAGAACCCCCTCCCCGTTACTTTAGCACCGCATTTGTTATGAACAAAAAAACATTCCCGTGGATGATTCCAGCGGAAAGATATTTTCGTCACCGCGCAATGAGCAACACAACAACATCCGACCACCCCAGGCTCGTTTTCAACATCTAGTTTTCGCCTTGGCGCCGCGCACACTCACTGATACAATTTACGCGAACTTCACGGATTGAGGGCGGCTCGGTTTCAAAATCTGGCTCTCGCGTCAGCGCCGCGCGAATTCGCTTTCTTAAATGTGCACGGGTTTCACGGATTGAAGGCCGCCGTTTTATAAACCTAGCTCTCGCCCCAGCGCCGTGCGCACTCGCTTAAAAAATGCGCGAGCTTCACGGATTGAGGGCGCTCAGTTTCAACATCTAGCTCTCGCCTCAGCGCCGCGCGCATGCGGTTTCTTGAGCGCGCGCGAGTTTCACGGGTTGAAAGCGGTTCGAGTTCAAAACCGAGTTCTCGCCTTTAGCGCCGCGTACATTCGTTTTGGGAGAATGTGCACGAGTTTCACGGACTGAAGGCGGTTCGGTTTCAAAATCTATTTCTCGCCTCAGCGCCGCGCGCATTCGCTTTCTTGAATGTGCGCGAGTTTCGCGGATTGAAGGCGGCTCGATTTCAAAATCTAGCTCCCGCCGCACACATTGAATGTTTAAAACTGTGAACGAGTTTCACGGATTGAGGGCGGCTCGGCTTTACAATCTAGCTCTCGCCAAGGCGCCGCGCACAGTCGCTTGAAAGATTGCACGAACTTCGCAGATTGAGGGCGGCTCGGGTTCAAAATCTGGCTCTCGCCTCAGCGCCGCGCGCGCTCGCTATCAAACTTTACACGAGTCCCGCGAATTGAAGGCGGTTCGGTCCCAAAATCGAACTTAGCGGGTTGAGGGCGGCTCGGTATCAAAATCTAGCTCTCGCCTTAATGTCGCGCGCGTTCGCCATGACAGCTGCGCACGAGTTTCGCGGGTTGAGCGCGGCTCGGTTTCGAAATCTAGCTCTCGCCTTAGCGCCGCGCGCATTCGTTTCTGAGAATGTGCGCGGGTTTCACGGATTGAGGGCGACTCGGTCTCACAATGCGGCTCTCGCCTTAGCGCCGCGCGCATCCGCTTTATGGATTTGCACGGGTTGCGCGGATCGAAGGCGGCTCGGTTTCAAAATGTGGTTTTCGCCTTAGTGCCGCGCGCGTTGGTTTAAAAACTGTGCGCGAATCCTGACAGTCTAACGCTGATGTTCTATGCGCTGGCTCGCTCCGGGAATTCTGAGCAATGGCGGCCGTTCCTCGACTAAGCGCTTAAAGCCGCTCCTCGGCTGAGCGCTGCAAGCCTTCCCCCCTGCCCCCCTTCTCCTCCTCCATGTTCTCCTTCTCCTCCCTGTTCCCCCCCTTCTCCTTCTCCCCCCCATTCCCTCCCCCTGGCTGCGTCTCTGACAATGTTGTGCTGAATTCATTGAAGGCGTCTCGCGCGCTTCCTGAAAACATTCTGGCAAAACTATGTCACCAGCCGGGCTGAGCTGATCTCGCAATGGCTCGGTCTCGCCACTCAGCGCCTGAATGATCTGACGCTGCCGCTGACGGATCGCCCTCCCCCACTGATAAAGCTCGCGTTCTCCGCATCGTGGGGGGGAATGGCAGACATTCGCTTGCAGTTTAACGTTCCGGCACGTTTCGGCAAATCACCTCGCTCTCCTCCTTCTTCTTTCTCCTGCTCACTGTAGATGTCCTTCTCGCCCCTCCCTCGCCTCTTCCTTCTGATTTTTTCCCCTTCCCCTCCTCCCCTCCCCCCTCCCCTCCCCGCCCCCCGCCCTCTTCTCCGCCCCCCCGCCGCCGTCGCCATCGCCGCCAGGGCGCCAGCGGGGAGCAGGGCATCAGGGATCAGGGCCGTCGTCGTCGCGGCGGGGTGGAGAGCAGAGGAGGGAGGAGGAGGACTGAGGAGCAGAGTACACCCTGCGAAATGCTTGAGAAATCATGGGTTAAGAAACTCATAGTCTCAGAACTTGAATAAAAAAACCAAACATTTCCATTCAAATCTTAGGATTTACATTGAAACATTAAGAATAATCGAGACTCTGGCCGAAAATTTAAGTTTTCTTAAGCATCGCCTAAGGTGTAGAGGAGTTGAGGTCTGAGTCGAAGAGTGGAGGACTGGGAACTGAGAGCTGAGGACTGAGGACTGAGGACCGAGGAGTAAAGCAGAGAGTGAAGGAGTGGAGGATTGGAGGAGTGGAGAGGGAGGAGTGCGGAGTGGGGGCGATGGGCGATGATGCAAGGATGGGGGATGGGCGAGCGGCGAGCCCCGCGGTTCTCCCCTCTCCCCCCTCCTCCCTCCTACGCCCTACGCCCTACCTTGGACGTGGGCGTGGGCAAAGAGGGAGAAGAAAAACGGGAAGTAAGCGGGCGCGATCCTCGTGAGAGGCGCGCCGACATGGGCGTCGATATTTATGCACGTAGACTCACGCGCGCGCGAACTCATCTACAATCGGACTCACTCGCTCTCAGTCTCTCGCACACAGACCTATCGTCTTCGCTTGCGTTGTGTGCCCCGCCGCGCATGTCGGCACGCCCTGGCCCCATAAGGAGCGCGGGCGAAGCTGATATTCATAATTGCGCTATTCGCAGCTGCGTATGGTTGGGTCCTTCGCCCGGCTAATTGAAACGAGTGTGCGCGGCGCTGAGGCGAGAACCACATTTTGAAAACGAGCCGCACTCCATCCGTGAAAATCTTGCAATTTTTTGGAACGACTGTGCGCGGCGCTGAAGCGAGAACCACATTTTGAAAACCAGCCGCATTCAACCTGTGAAGATCTGGCAACGTTTTCCAAACGAATGTGCGCGGCGCTGAAGCAAGAACCACATCTTAAAAACGAATCGCCCTCCATCCGTGAAACTCTTGCAACATTTTGAAAGCGAATGTGCGCGGCGCTGAGGCGGGAGTAACATTTTCAAAACGAATCGCTCTCAATTCGAAAAGCTCTTGCAACGTTTTCCAAACGAATGTGCGCGGCGCTGAGGCGAAAACAACATGTTGAAAACGAGCATGCACTCGATCCGTGAATCTCGTGGAATCGAACGCGAATGTGCGCAGCGCAGAGGCGAGAACAACATTTTGAGAACGAGCCGCCCTCCATCTGTGAATCTCTTGAAACGCTTGCAGAACAATGTGCGCGGCGCTGAGGCAAGCATCATATTTTGAAAACGCGCCGCCCTCCATCCGTGAAACTCATGCAACAGGTTCAAAACGAGTGTGCGCGGCGCTGAGGCGGGAGTGACATTTTGAAAACGCGCTGACCTCCATCCGCAAAGCTCTTGCTAACTTTTGAAACGAATGTGCACAGTGCGAAAGCGAGAACAACATTTTGAAAACGAGCCGCCATCCATGCGCGAAGCTCTTGCAAACTTTTGAAATACATGTACGTGGCGCTCAAGCGAGAACCACATGTTGAAAACGAGCCGCCCTCCATCTGTGAAGACCTTGTAAATTTTGAAACGAATGTGCTCGGCGCTCAAGCAAGAGCCACATTTTGAAATCCAGCAGCCCTCCATCTGTGAAGCTCTTGCAAATGTTTGAATCGTATGTACGCGGCGTTGAAGCGAGAGCAACGAACTGCCCTATATTTCTGAAGCTCTTGCAATTCGAAGAACATAAACAAGAAAAACGACTGTGCGCAACGCTGAGGCGAGAGCAACGAGCCACCCTCCATCCGTAAAACTCTTGAGAGTTTTTGAAATGAATGCGCGCGGCGCTAAAGGCGATCGCCACATCATCCTGCCACATCATCCTTCTGGTGCGGAGATAACGCTTTCCAGTGCGGGCAATGTCATCCTTAAGCCGGTAAGGGTGGAGTTCTTAAACACTTCATGAACTTTATCCCGCCCCTGGATCCGCGAGGGGTGTTGGGCAGTCGGAAGGGGAAAAAAGAGGGGGTGAGGAGGAAGAGCAGGAGGACGAGGAGGAGGAGGAGGAGGAGGAGGAGGAGGAGGAGGAGAATGAGGAGGAGGAGGAGGACGACGACGACGAGGAGGAGCAGGAGAAGGGCGACGAGGAGGAGGAGGCGGAGGAGGAGGACGATGAGGAGGAGGAAGCGGGGGGGATGGGTAAACTCCGTCGGAGGGTCAATCCCCGCCCCGCCCCCGAGGCATGCCCCATCCGCAGCACTCGTGGCCCTCCGGTCTCCATCTCGGACTCCGGCGCCGCGCCCCGCGGCGCGGCCTGCTCCTGCCGCGGACCGCCCGAGGAGGCGCTGCTCGGAGCGGGGGGCGCGCCCCCGCCCGCTGTCCCGGGGGCTCCCTCCACCAGGTGCCGCCGGGCTCGCAGCCTCTCGGCCAGCTCGGCCATCGCCCGCGGCAGGCCGGCAGGCGGTGGAGGGCGAGAGGGGAGGTCCCCAGACCCCCTCGCGTCGTGAACAGCTCCTCCTCCTCCTCCTCCTCCTCCTCCTCCTCCTCCTCCTCCTCCTCCTCCTCCTCCTCCTCCTCCTCCTCCTCCCTCCTCCTCCCTCCTCCTCCTCCTCCTCCTCCTCCTCCTCCGGCGGTTTCTGCTGCTTTCGGCCTCTTCAGAGGCCCTGGCCGGGTCCAGGGGGCCATCGGCAGCAGAGGCTCGGGAGGAATCACCAGAGTGCTGGGGAGTGGGTCGAGACCTCTGGCGGGAGGTGCTGCTGCGACCCCGTTGTGGTGAACGGGAAGACCGTGTACATTTCTTTTTTGAAGGACTTGAGGTCGCGAGGCTTCCTTGGGGAAAAAATCCATTGAGGCACCCCACTTCCTCCTCCTCCTCCTCGTCCTCCTCCTCCTCCTGCTCCTCCTCCTCCTCCATCTCCATCTCCTCCTCCTCCTCCTCCTCCTCCTCCTCCTCCTCCTCCTCCTCCTCCTCCTCCTCCTCGGGTCGACGTTGAGGACAAAGAATATCGTGTGGGGTCCGGGCCAGGGGATGCAAGAGAGGAGGACCCTGGAGCCCAAACGGCCGAAACGGCTCCAGTCCTCGCGCTGCTGCAGGGAAGACGCTGAGGAAGCAGTGGACGGGGCGTTCCTGGCCGCGGCGGGCTTCGGCCACGAACAGGCTCCTCGACCTGGATCTGAGGAGCGGCCCCGGAACCAGGGCTCCTCCTGAGCCCAAGGTGGCCCTTGCTTCCGCGGCTTGCCTGTGGCTGCGGAGCAGGAGGGTGGTTGGGGGGGGGGGAGGCCGAGGAATGGAGAGGGCGCCCTGCACAGCGGCACGGGAACCAGAGCCACTCCTGAGCCCAAGGTGGCCCTTGTTTCCGTGGCTTGCCTGTGGCTGCGGAGCAGGAGGGGGTGGTGGGGGGGCGGGGAGGCAGAGGAGTGGAGAGGGCGCCCTGCACGGCAGCGCGGGGGCAAACGAAGGGCGAGCAGGAAGGGCAGGAGGCACCCGCTGCGTCCACGCGCGAGTGGCCCTGGCCAAGAGGTGCCTTTGGCGCGCGGTCTGCCGCTCGTTGCATATGACGCGACTGCAGTGGCTCGCGTGCTTGGGTCTGGTCGCCCCGCGCCCCCGAATGCTGCGCACCCGCGATCACCCCGGCGAGGGGCCACTCGGCTCTCGGGCCGCAGCCCGCTCGGGCCTCCAGCGGCCGTTGGCGTCGTGACTCGGGTGCCCCCAGAGCGCTCCCAGCGAGGCGCAGCTGCTGGAGCATCACGACGCAAGAAGGCCTCCAGGAGCCGACGAGCACGTCCAAGGGCCTCCGGAAACGCTCCGCCCTCCGAATCCCCCCCCTCACACGCGCAGCCGATCAAGAACAGAAGGGAGGAGGGGCAGTTAGGGTTGCAACTCGAGTGCCCCCCGAGCGCTCTCGGCGAGGCCGAACGCATCACGATGCAAGAATGCATCTAGGAGCCGACGATCACGTCCGAGAGCCCCCGGAAACGCTCAGCCCTCCGACCCTCCCCCGACACGTGCAGCCTATCAGGAACCGAAAGGAGAAGGAGGAGGAGGAGGAGGAGGAGGAGGAAGAGGAGGAGGCTGATTCAAGCTGATTCAAAGCATGGAGCGAGCTCCATCGCATCCAGCGAAACTCAATAAACATATGATTGAGTTCGGTACTGCCTGTTACCGCACGGCGAGTCCTAAAAAGTTACGGGGAGCCCGAGTCCCCCCGGGCCTGCAGCTCCCGAGCCTCCCTCGCGCGCTCCGAGAGACACCAGGACCCCCCCCCGACACGCGCAGCCGCTCAGGAACCGAAGAGAGGAGGGGCGCCAGGCAGCTCCCAAGAGGCCCCGGCGCCCCTTCTTAGGGGCCGGTTGAAGGGGCCCAGGGACACACAAGTAAATTACCACAACCCCCAGGGTTCCCAATTTTGTGTGTATATATATATATATATACACAGAGTTTTCGTCATCCCCGCTGTCCACATTTTCCTGTATTTTCCTGGGGATCGACGATTCATTGTGTCTGTGCGTTTTCCCCTCCTGGCCAACTTTGCGCCCCAGGTCCATTCTGGGTGGTCCCGGGCCCTGCCATGGGCCCCAGAGGCCCACATCGAGGAAACAACGCCGGTTGACAAATCTGATCGTTGAAGCTCTGGGAGGGGCGCACGACAGCATCGCCGGCCCTGTGGGCACCGGGCCGCCTCTGGCTGTCCAGGGCCTCCCACTGACTCCCCCCCCCCAAGGCCTCCCATGGCCAGGACCTCCCACGGCTTCCTACAAGCCTCGTCAAAAATAAACAGACACAAAGTTGGAAATCACGACGATCGATCTTCTCGGGCACTTGTTAGAAGCTGCGTTCTTCAATGCTGCGGGGGTGTCGTCGGGTTTTCGAAGCCCCTGCGTCCACGTCAGATATCTAGCGTCAGCATTGGAGTAGCGCTGACCATGCAATCGCCGAAAACAGAATCCCTCAGTTTATTTTTGACGAGGGTTCTGACGTCAAAAAGGCCTCCGAAGGGGGAGGAGGGGGAGGAGGAGGAGGAGGGGGAGGAGGGGGAGGAGGAGGAGGAGGAGGAGGAGGAGGAGGAGGAGGAGGAGGAGGAGGAGGAGGAGGAGGAGGAGGAGGAGGAGGAGGGTCTCCGAAGGCCTCCCAAGGTCTCATTGGGCCACCCTGGGCCCCCATTTCGGCAGCGCCCTCGCGACCCAAGTGGCCACACAATGTTCAGCGAGCGACCTGCGCCTCTGCAGCGAGAAGGCGGGGAACAAGTACGGCAGGTCCGTGTCGTGCCGACTTCGGCGTTGGTTTCTGACACCGCGGGGATCGTTCAACCTTGAACGATCGGCCGTTTTCGAAGCGTCCAATCGATCCACATCGAACGATTCTGGGTCGCCCGCGGCGTTCAAAGTTGAACGCCGCTGGCGGGGTCGCCGCCGGTCGACACGACACGAACCTACCGTACTCTGATGCGTCTGCGCACACAGGTATACTATGGTATGACATAGCGATGGATGTTGAGCTGCGAAGGAAAGGAAGAACACGTGTATCATAGTGCGGATCGGAAGAGCAAGCGGCTGCTGCCAAGCCGGAGCACCAGCCAGACACGAGGCAGTGAAAGGCTGCGCTCCTATCAGTACCAAGGACACGATGAAGCATAACATCCCGTCGCAGAGGCTGGGAGGGGGCACCTGGTTGAAGCATCCGTCTCCCTCTCTCGCTCCCTCTCTCTCTCTCTCTACTTCTGCCCGTCTACTACGCGATCGATTCCCAACTCACTCAAAGATAGCTCCTGCTCCTCCTGCTCCTCCTGCTCCTCCTGCTCCTCCTGCTCCTCCTGCTCCTCCTTCTCCTCCTCCTCCTCCTCCTCCTCCTCCTCCTCCTCCTCCTCCTCTACTCCTCCTTGTCAGCCTTGCCCGTTGCCTTTTTGCCTCCCCCTGCTCACGAAAATCCTCATCCTCCTCTTTCTCCTCCTCCTCTCTTCCTCATCCTCCCATTCACCGTCGTCCTCCCCCACCTCCTCCACATCCTCCTTTTCACCCATCTTTGCCTTTCCATCCTGGCCCTCCTCTTGCCTATCATCGTCATCTCCCTTGTTATCGTCCTGATCTTCGTCATGCTTGTCATCGTCGGCGTCGTCATCGTCGTCGGCCTCTTCGTCCATATCTCCGCCCTCGCTCGTCGACCTGCAGCTGCCGCGGCCAGTGCGGCGGGAACCTGCTTTGATGCTCGCCGTTCCCCCTCACCCAGCAGTCTCACAAGCCAGTTCCTCTCCGCCCTTCCTCGTACCCTCTGCATCCTCTCACATGGCTCGTCCGAGAAGCCCTGGCTTGCATCTCTTGGGCTGTCTATTTTGCTTCCGCCAATTTCTACGGGCATCCGCTGGAAGAGCCGCCCTCGTCTTTCTTCCGCCGCCTCCCGCCGGCCTTCCGCCGCCTTTCGCCAAGGGTGAGGTGTCAACCCCTCGACCCCTCGGAGGCGAGACCCTTTCTGGAGCGCCACATGTCTCTCCTGAAACCCTGGTTGCCGGGCTGATCGCTCAGGTGCCGCGGGCCAGATCCCACGCTACATATTCAGACTTGGCTCCTAGCCCTGAGGGTTAGCAACCATTTCGTGAAACCCAGCCTGATCTAAATATGCAATTGCTTCATCTCTCTCTCTCTCTCTGTTTCCGTGTCTGTGTCTGTCTGTCTGTCTGCCGGTCTCTCTCTCTCTCTCTATTTCCCTCTCTCCTTGTCTCGCTCTCTCTCTCTCTCTCTCTGTATATATATATACATACACGCATATATATATATATATATATATATATATATGTATGTGTATATATATATATACACACCTCTCTCTCTCTCTTTCTCTCCCTCCCTCTCTATCTCTCTCGCTCGCTCCCTCGGGTCGGGCGAGACGGGAGGCTCGCAAAGCGGGTGCAACGCATCGGCTCACGCAGCTGGCTTCAGGCGTCAACGTATGGAGGAGGGTGCCTGCCGGCGGGGCCGACACCCGCTGCACACACCAGATCTCGTACCCACTGCTTTTCAAATCTCCCCCGCTCGTCCGACCCGACTCTCTCTTCGATGGGGTGTGGTGGAGGGGGGGGGGGTGCGTGTGTAATCGCGCTCTACAGATTATCCTCGTATCCTCGGGATCCCTCGCACGTCGCCGAGATGTGTCCGACTCCGGAAACCCTGAAACCAAACACATTGGCATCTCTTGGGGGGCGCACGTTTTCCTTCCGCGCCCTGACTTGTGCCCTGGTGACCTGTGTGGGCGTACCCGCTACCGTATCCCATCTGGTTTTTGCATGGCTCATTTCCTTACCCTTGACTTGCAATGCCTCTGCATACGCACTGTTGATGACACGGGCTCGAGCCTGCCTCCGACACACCCCGCATTGCTCCACGCTCTGCGGACGCTCTGGCAGTCTGCGGCCCTCTCCCGGCCTTCCTCCCGCCGTCTCTTCCGCCTCT